GATCCAAATCTGCTGACGCACAAGGGCCAAAGTGGAAGTGTTTCTTTTGAACCAATAATTTGGACAAAGTGTGCGTTGACGAAAGGATCGCTTGGTACTTCGCTTCAAAGAGTATCGATGCCTTTTCCAGTCAAACTTCGACTCTAATAATTGCCTCAACGAGTACTGGTTGCAGTGGAAACAAAGAACTTTGCTTGAAATTGCCTGATTTTTTTGAAGAGCCTTGTACTCTCAGGCCTGAAACGACTCGATCTGGGCTATCTTGCATAGTGCTGACGAGGTATCTTTAAGATCTTCGACATTCAAATTCTTGGTCTGTTGTTTTAGGGGTAGAATCCACCTCTTTGCTTTTACACTTGCACAATTATCTTCTACCTTCAGCGTATAAGGAACATCAGGCCACTCTTTTACATCTGATGTGGAGGAGATTTCAGGGACTCTATGTAAAACGAATATGCTGAATCTTCTCTGCGTGTTACCAAATATTGTAACACTACGCTGTAGTGTTTCACTATTTGTGTTACACTATTTGTGTAAACTGTAGTGTTGCACTGCATTAGTGTCTCGTCGACACTAATGTCAATTCCCTCTGGTATCTTAGTACCTCGCTTACCGCCTGCAGCTCCAAGCGACATAACGTCACAGTCTTTACCGATGCTCGTACTTTCTTGCTTATAACAAAGCTCACAGCAGCATGTCCACAGTTTACTGCGCGGAGGAAGGCCGCAGCCCCATAAGCAATTGCAGACGCATCGCAGAACACATATAGCTGCACGTTTTGACACTCTCTACATTGAAAGCCGAACCAACGAGGTACTGCGATTGGCTGAGAAGTCTTTAAGCAATCCTTCCAAACCTGGGGTGGTAAGGCCAGGAGGTTCAAACACGCTGCTGGTGGCGCTTAAGATTCCTGGCCTGATTTTGGCAAACTCTCTCTTCACTGCGGGTTGAAGACTTAACGAGTCTTCTTATGTGCACCACTTAACGCCCAAAGCTCTCTCTTGCGGAAACTTATTACAGGGGCGTAGCCAGGATTCTTCAAAGGGGGAGTGACAGAGGCTACTCACTAGATTGTCATGTCGACCTCCCCGCCGTGCATGTTTTCTTAATGTTACAGTTTTGGGATGAGCAGTAAGAGTGTAGTGGACAGGCCAAGATATTGTCATGCCGTTTTCACCACCTGAATATTGTAGGTCGTTTGCTCAAAAGAAGGCCTACTAAGGGGTCACGGGCACCCCAGGACCCCCTGGCTACGCCCTTGTGTTACGGTGTATGAACCGTGTCACTAGCTATTTCCGAAGAAGAAACTGCTGCAAGAACTTGTCGGCTGTTTGACATCCACTTCGTGAGACGGAATCAATCAATAGCTAAGACTTAGATCAGCTCCTTTGCTAGAGCTATAGCTTCGTTTGAGTTTGACTTTGATGTAATTAGGTAATCTATATACAGGTTCTGATTTACGGCACGAATCGCTTCTCCACTGAATTTCCTTCGTTGGTCAAAAGTAGTTATCTTCAATGCGTAGCTCGTACAGCATGGTGAGTCGACAGAGCCAAACACGTGAGCCTCCATCTGATACTTGTTCGGTCTCTGTGTGTCATCTAAGTCCCTTCACCCGGTAACCCGGCAAGCGCTCAATATCCGCTATGGCACCATCCTTCCGCCTCGAAATCTCATCAGGATTCCAACCAGACTGTTTAACAAGTTGGGAAATCGTCAAACTTTGCTACCGCATCAAAAACCAGGCGGACCTTTCCCATTTTATTAGGGTTCAACACCACATGGTGAGGTAGATACCATGTTTTAGAGGACGTTGCTTTAGCCTCCTCTGATGTCATCTTTCTTGCGTGTCTTTTACTGACATAATCGTTCATGACTTTTTGGTATTTCTCCGCCAGTTGTGGGTTCTTCTTAGGTTTCTTCTCATTTAAAAGAAGTCTTGAGATGGCCATCGCGTGGTTGTTTGGCAGGATCGGTCTCCTCTACACAACATAGCTCTCTTTCACCGCACTGCTCTGTAAAATAGCCAACGTGCTTTCATCCTCAAAGAATAACTCGATTTCGGAGGGTGCTTGCTTTGTCGCATAAGAATCAATCTCCCAAAATCGTTCAACCCTTTGCGTCAAAAGGGGCTCTTTGTTCAACGCTAGAAAGTTCTCATTGATCGCTTTGCATAGTTCTTTGGTTGCATTTCCAAAGAAGGTCCACCCAAGGGGTGTTTTCACGGCTATGGGTTTATCTACTCGTCCCTGGTGGACTAAAGGTTGATCAGTAGATTAGCCATGTCAGATCTAATATGAAGCACTTAGAGCCGTCAAGTTCAGGAAGGTCGAAACCCGATAAATGAATTCGTTGTTTGATGGCCACCCCTTTCACCATTTTATGGATGGCATATTTAGTTTGTCAACCAACTCAACCTTCTAATCGACTTCCTTTCTTTGAAACCGAGTTCAGGTTTGCCCAGGCTCACTGAGACTATTGCCTTCTCTCTGAGCTTCGGTAGGGAGCCCTGCCTTCACAGCCAGGGTGCAATTGAACACATGAATTTAGGTCTAGAGAACTGTTGATGTCCAGCGGAACTTTCGATGGGAGCTCTGCCACCTCGGCAAGGGGTGTAGTTTAATGCTTAACTTTGCTCTAGTAGATCTTAGCTCTCTGTCCCACTCATTGCATATGAAATCCTCAAGGGATTCAATATTTCCACTCATTTTTGCCACCATTTCTCGAACTCTATCAGTGTAGACCTATCTGTATAACCATCTATAGACTCATACTATCTCACTCTGAGGTGTATCGGTAGTCGTGTGGTTGCTCTATTGAGATACTCTGGGGTTTGGAGTACAGCAGATTGGCCCATCTTTACACACCACGCCGTAAAGCCTTCACTTGGTGATAGTAGACACGTAACGCTTGTCTATCATTTGCTGGAACAACGGCACTATTTAGCGGGTTGCTCAAGTGAACCGTAGCGACAATGTTAGGATTTCCAAAGTGGTGTTTCAGTGTCTTTAGGGCAGTTGGGTAGCTGTGACCTGAAACACCAAGGCTCTCAACTGCTTTCTTGGCTTCACCATCTACGTTTTGAAAAAAATGGGCCATACTGTCTGAATCAGTGAGTGTTGTCTTGTTGTGAACCTGGTCACGAGATGTTTCAATAAATTTTGGCCACTCGATAGGCTTGCCTGTGAACTTGAAGAGTTCTAGGGGGACAGTTGTTGCCTGCTGTTCTTGTGTTTGGAGCAAAGCCACACTTCGGTCTGACTGTGAGCTACTGAAGCTCAACTGGAAGAAGTTCTCCTTACCTTCTATGAAGCTACCAATTAATGCATTACGCTCGATTTCCACTGTTCTCTCGAGTCCGGTCTTTTCCACCCCTCCCCTGCTGGTAATCGAGCCTATGAGTGCATCTTCTGGTTTTTCAACATGTAATAAGTGTTGCCTAGGCGACAAGCGAAAACCACCCAGGAAAGGGGTTGATGCATTGTGGGTATCAGTAGCTAGCCCATTGTGAGATAAAAGGCGGTTGAGTATGCGTGAGCAGAATGGCACATTTTGTTTCATGAGAAGCCCAAGCTAGATTTTCCCTACGACTAGTGCTGAGATTTGATGCCAAAGGCACTCTTGCAGTCCTTGCCAGGGAACCGATACCATGTGAATTTCTCCACGTACCAAAATAAGGCTTAGATACGTTATCATAATGAGATGACCCACTTGGTACACTTGTGGGTGTGTAACTAAACGGACTGGAGGGAGTGTAGTTTGGAGTGAACCCTAATTTTCGACATGAAGAGGACTTCGTTTTGGTACTCTCTCAGCAGCGTTGAAGATAACATATCACTTTCACTTTCTTTTGCAGATGGTAAGTTAACTGTGCCTGAGGTGAGGCCTTTGCTATTTGTAAGAGGAAACTCTAAAATCTTTATTGGTAAAGGCTTGGGTGTTATACTCAATGAAGTATTTTCCAGAGATGACTTTAAATATACAGTATTATATTCTCGGGAAACATATCTCAATGGCACTCCATATTTCACATCGATCGTTACATGGACTTGAATAATTGCCCCTCCTTTCGAAGTCATTGACTGCGCGAGTACGGTGAGCTAAATGTTTGAAAGATGACGAAGCTACACTGACCTTACCAGTAATTTGGTCGCCGCTTCCGTTTCCTTCGATTGAGTCTTGCCTCAGTATTCCCTGCTCGAGCTGAGCCATATCTGCTTGGCTTTGGGCGACGATTAAAGCCATTTCGTTGTTTCTTTTCTTCCGTAGCAGGTCAAGTTCCCATTTACGACATTCCAGTTTTAGCTCTAGTTCACTTTTAGCCATCTCTTCTTTAAATTCCTTTTCACACGCTTCATTTCTCTCTCGATTCGTTCCGATAACTGTTTTGTTTGAAGGTTTACGATAGCCGCTTTTATTCGAGCGCTCTTCTCGCCCTTGATAAGGATGATGAACTTCCAGTTAACGAGGCTTGACTGACTAAATCTTTCTTGACATTACTGCTATGGAGCGGCGAAAACAATTATTCGTTTAAAGGCTGCACTGTCTCGCCCTCGTCCATCCTTTACCTGGCTAAAGGTTTCGTATCTAGCTAGAATTGACCATTTTGCTGAGTTCAGTAAACGTAACTTTTGTTTTGCTGAACAACGATAACACTTTATGTTTTTGCCTTCGTGCTCAGTTCCCCATCACATGCCTCAATCTTGCTCCATACGCCCATATACCGTAAAGCGTTTTTGTGACGTTCTGTTTCCGTTTTAGCGAAAACCCATCAAATCTTTGAATCCCCTTTATCATCAACGTAAGTGCTAAGTTTTTCCACAGTCGTTTTCGATGTTTAGATGTGGACACGGACAATGCCAAAAGTTCGAACTAGATCCTGCGCTTTTTAAACAAATACGCCTTAGCATGGATGGGGTTCTGCCTCTTCCTTTACTGTCTAAGGACATTTACTTCAAGCCACATGTAATACATCATTTAGTCATTGTTTAGCAACTTACCCTCTCTGCAGCCTTATTGTCTCCTCGACGAAGTGCTGCTAATTCTGCACTCCTCAAGTCCGCGAGTCTTGCTTTTAAACCGTGATAATCCATGCATCAAGTCTGAAAGTTGACGAAAGAAGATTTTTGTGGGGATCAAGTCTTCCATTCCACTGACCAGTAGATCTAAAAATTTCATGAAAAATTTTGCAGTGAGATCTACTTATGACGGACACTTGATCGCTAATTAATATAGAAACACGAGTGAAGAGTCGCTGCTTTGTAATTGATATGCCCAAACAGTTTGTAAAAAATAAGCTTTCATAAAAATTGTGCAAGAAATGATACCTTAATCAGGCAGAAACATGTATGTACGGACCCCGAAATAAACTGCTGGAAATATTTTACAATACTTCTCAATTTCATTATAACCTGTTTAAATTATATCAGTTTGGTTTTTTTTCTTACGAAGTGTTAATTCTGATAAATTCAGGAGGATGGGCGCATACTAATAACAATACATGAGCGCCACAGGCACGGCATTTGTTTTAAGAAAGATTAACTGCCATATCACCTTCCATATAGCAAATATTTCTCCAACAAATACTTGTTGTAATGGGGAATGCTCTAATAACTTCTTCTTAATTTACGAATCTCGACACGGGGAAACATTTGATGAGGATAAATACCGCTTACTGATTAAAGCTACTTTTTTCCCATCCAATCAATGGATTCATGCAATATTTCATTGACTTTGGCCTGTAAACGACAACAACAACGGAGAAATGTTCTTTAAAAAACAACAAGAAAAAACGATTCCTATTAAAGTTAGATCTTTGAAAAAAATTTACAGCCATCACCCGGTAACCGGTTTAATAGTATGACTTGTGTTGCGTGAAGTATATATAGACCTGTGACCATTGTTAACCGCACCTGTTACAAAACGATCCTACAACTCACCAAAATGACAATCGATCGTTTGATTAAGAAAAAACGTTTTTAATAACAGACTCAATTTTAGCTAACCGCAAAAAATCGCTGGCTAATCCTACGTAGGTGTACCGGCTCCTCTGAGAAATTTGAAAGTTTGCCGGAATTATTTTTCTAAAGGAGGTTAACTCGAATTTAACATTTGAGTCTATTTCCCAATAGGATTAGTATGCATTACATTTGTTTCCAAAATCTTGTGCGACGATTGAAAACACAGCTCTCATAGCTGCAAAATGACGTCAAACTTATAGAGCCGATAGAATTCTGATCACTTCGCAAAGCGATATGAGACGGCAAAGAAACTGTCATACTGAAAAATTCCAACATTACAGTATCGCACAGGAAAAAAACTACAAGTTTTACATCTGAAATAAGGGCTGAAATACAAAAATCGCAACAATCGCTGTTTAATGCCTACAACAAAAGGACTAAAAAAGGCAAAGACAAATAAGTCTTTTCGTCAGTAGTGAATAAAAGCGTAATTTAATTAAAAGGTAGTTCTCGGCTCGTGATTATTAAGCTTTCCTCTCGTTCTCCCACTATCCCACATGGCTTTATCACGTTATAGAGCTTGGAAAATAATGTGTTCTCTTGCTGAAATAAGCAGGTCTGTGTATTAATCTAGTATTATTCTTGTAAATAATATGCTCTGTAAATATCATTTATAATTTTAACCAGTATTGTATAGTAAATAATCATGCAATTCAGCCTTATTAGGTTGCCATGTGATTTTTAATAAAGCTATCTATCTATCTGACGAGAACAGCATGCAATCCTCAGTATCGTGTTATGGGAGAAGCTCAACTTTTGTCAGCTCTTTAATACAAGCTAGAAATTATCAAATTTTACGATAAAAAAAGTACTTCGCAAAGGCAAAAAAATCTGAGAAAATTTTCCTGTACGAATCAAATATACAATTGATAGCGCCCTAAATTTAAGACCACTTAAGGCCTTTATTCTGTTCTCCTCCCGCCTCAACGTTTTCAACACTTGAAGTTTTTTGGAGAACCCTGATGACCTGGACTTTTTTACCTTTATGATCTAGGTATAATATTAAACCTTCCGATCTTAGTTTAGTCATTTTTTTTCTGCTGCGAGTCCACAGCGACAGGCGCGCATGAATGCAAAAGGGAATTTAAATTGAATTCTTACCTTTTCAAAAAGTGACGCGAGCAAAGTTTACCAACCGTTCCGGGTATAACCCCTTTTTTTTCCTTTAAACCAAATACATTTCCGTAAACATTTTTAACTACGCGCCTAATACAGATTAACTCGCTTAACGTGCCACGCAGTTCTTCAATATTTTGATGATCAATACCGGGCGTTTTCTAACAAATCTTGGTAAGCTGATTCTGGATGTCAACTACTTTGAAAACTTTGACAAGTGGACACTATGCTTAGTCCCAAACTTTTCCTATCGCATTTACTGTAAAATGAGCTTGTATTCAGTAGTCATCGGAAACCAAAGTGCAGCCCTAATGTGACACAAAACTTTGGCTCAGCAAACACTTTCTGAAATTTTATCATTGGCTTTCCTTTCAAAATAGGATCAGTCTTCTTAAAAAAAGCTCGTTTGAATCTATGAGGGTGTAAATGTAAATAGATAAACTGAAACGTTACCTCATACAGAACTAGAAACACCGTTTTGCCACTGAAAGTGCTCTTAATGTTAACGCCAGTTTAGGTTGAATCTTTTGTAACGATCGTTGAGGGTGTTTCCATAAACATTGTCATTAAAACGTTTGTTCGAGTGTTCCCTGTAGAGAAATCAGTCCAAAAATTGCTTTTCCAATTTGCTGCAGTTGCGCTAAACAACAGGTAAAACTGCAAAGGCCTTTCTGCATTGTGGGATTGTCTTAAAAAGTTGTAGAAAAGGTTAAGTAGTTTAGCGGATGGAGCCTTCTATCAGCTTTCAGTGACAAAGCTAACAAAACTGCCTCAAGCATCGAGAGGTTAAACGCTAACAACATCTCAATTAAAGTTACAAAAAGCTATGATATTGGTTATTAATTACACCAAAAATTATTCACTTCTGAGTTTTTTAGGTATTCATCGCTGGTTAATGGAATTCTAGTCGAGTATTAAGAATTATGGCACTTTAGTAACCCGGCGTTGCGTCTTATTTGGGGTCTAGAAAGCGCGTGTAAAAAGTAAAAATTCCTTCCTCAAAAAGCGCTACGTGGCCAAAACAATTCTGGATAATAGGACCATGATGCGGTCAATGTTTGAAGCCGGAGCTTAAATTAAAACGATACAGGTAACCTTGCAATTGAAAAATTCCACTGTAAGGCCTTAAAAGGAAACAAGAAACTTCAAGATCGAGGAAATTTCAAATGTTTTTCTCCGTCTTACGGATTAGTCAGCAAAATGGTATTTTAGAAATGGTTAAAGGGTTAGCGAGTGAACCTACCAGCATTTCTTAGTCGCGGATCTATCCCTTTATTGCCATAGAAATGAGCTTTTACCCCTTCAAAATGGCTGTTACCCCAACGCGTGGCACTTTGGTACCATTTTCGTCGTTAAAACGCTATAAATTAACGAAAAATTAATCAAAAGAGCTAGTACTTGCACATGATGTGAAGATAGTTTCGAATGATAGATTTATAGCCTTAACTCCGAATAATATATTTTATTAACGTTTCTTTTTAAGAGAGACGAGAAGGTGAAAAATGTGCCACACTTTACGTCTAGAGAGAGCTAAAGATCACAACATAGTGCATCGGTAAAACAGTGTGAAGAAAACATATTCAAAAACTGTGCGATTCAACTGGTCTTCGTGGCGTTTTGTTCATTTGTAATGAAGTTTAATGGAGTTATTCCATTGCCGTGTACAAATATTCAGTGTTATCATGGACACAAATCCGGAAAAAAGGTCACTATCCATCGGGGAACGCGACGTCCACAACCCCTACATATTGTGCTTTCGCAAACCACTCGCACACAACGGGTATGTATTATCCTCCTTTCCCATCGAAATGGAAGTGTTCCTACTGGAACACTAAATTCCATGTAATAAATCAACCTTTTTTTCTCTGGGTGTCTCGGATCAAGTGTTCCTACAATTGAAAAACATGTCTACGAAAGCGAAAGCGAGCCGTTCTATCAATTAAAGATAAGCGGGTAATCATTTAACGTTCGGATAAAGGAGAAAAAGGAACAAATTTATCTCAAGAATTTGGCATTAGTAAGCAGCAGATCTCAGACATACGGGAGAACAAAGACAAGATCCCGACTAAAATTTACTGACAGCATCGAGACAAGCGAAGGATTAAAACCAAAGTGCCTCAAGCTGGCCGATGATGAGCAGTTGGATAAAGCCCTGTACGCCTGGTTTATTTAACAAAGATCTACAGGGACACCGATTTCAGGTCCGCTTCTTCAAGAGTAAGCGAAACATTTCTCTACGCAGTTAAACACAGAGACGGCCGATCGCGAATTCAAAGCATCAACCGCCGCTGGCTAGACTGAAAGTTTAAAACACGGCATGGCATCAGGAACCTCAGCATTCAAGGTGAGGAACTTTCAGCAGCAGAAGAAACTGTTAAACCATTTCTACAGAAATTGCACGAAGTGATCGAGGAAAAGAATCTGATCACCGAACAAATCTACAATGCCGATGAGACTGGACTTTAGAGGAAGTATTCACCGCAAATAACTCTTGCTGACCCTTGTTACCTGTCGCGAAAAATCTGCTCCAGGATTCGAAAAAGCAAAGGATCGCTTAATTGTGCTGGGTTGTACAAATGCTACTGGAACTCACAAACTACAACCCATTTTTATTGGGAAATCTGCGAAGCCGAGATGCTTTGAGCATGTTTAAATAGATGCGTTTCCCGTGATCTGCAAGTCCATAAGAAATTTGCCTGGATGAGTTCGCCGGGAGATCCTCGCCGAGTGGTTTAAGAAAGAGTTTGTGCCAGCTTTAAAGTCACCAACGCTAACAAAACGTCCGTTTTCTGCTGTTAATAGTTCTGCTCACCAGATAAGCTCAGCAGCCGCGATGGCTCTGTAACCTGGCTGTTTCTTCCTCCGAACACGACCTCCCTGATTCAGCCAATAGATCAAGGAGTCCTACAAGCGATGAAGAATCGATACAAGGGAAAACTTCTTCAGAAAGTAGTTTGCAGTCAAGACATTGCATGATCAAGCTCAAGGCATTAAGGACATCGTAAAGCTTCATACTGTGAAAGAGGAGAATGTGCTACCTTTCTATAATATCAGGAAATAGATAGACATTCTAGTCTTTTCAGATAAGGACGAATAAACCGTTGGTCCCGTCTCCTGTAGGGTTAGGGGGTAGGAGACGTTAATTTCCCACTCACGAGATCACTGTGTGATGAATGGGTGGGTGGGTTGCAGTCCGTAATGCTCTGTTAAGAGTGAGGACTTAAACTGGTAAATAAATAAATCTATTTGCAAGGGTTACGACAAACTGAGAATTCATTCGAGTCAAATTGATTTCATAGCCCGAATTCAGAGACGATAATATTTTCCATGATTCCAAGCGTACTTCACATACAATGGCAGTTCTTCTGGCTGGAAGTATTTTCTGAGTAATCCAATCCAAGATCCTGCTAGCCAGATAAACAAGACTGCAGCGCACAGAAATATACTTAAGGAATGACTCCACAGCTGTAAAAGACTAACATAGAATGTGGATAGAATGTTTTCCATGAATCAAAAATGAAATGAGCCAAATTCACCAAAAATATTAGCTCTACCTTTAGCCTGTAGTACAAGTATTGTCTAAGTTAAGAAAATTCTCACAGCTCTCCTTGGTATGACTAGAATTATTCGTCGTTATCCTGTTATTCAAATTGCACTAATGCACTGCACACACACAAAAAAAACACACTTATTGTGTATGAAAAATTACGTAAAGCTTGACTTAATGTTTTTTTCTCGCAAGAATTTATATTGAATTGTAGCTACTTTGAACTACTAGAAGTAAATGTCAAAACTTCATCACTTAGTGTAGTGTTCGCTCAGATCATCGTGAAACGTTAACGACAAACGTAAAAGGTGCGAGACGAACAGTTTAGAACAACTCTTAACATTTATTCAAATACATCTTCACCACTGAATTTTCCTATTACAAAATTCCCAACTAACCAACGTTGCAAAGGGTAACAGTTTTCGTTGCCGTCAGTTTTACTGATCATCTCTAGCGTGGCGAGGAAATGTTTGTCAGAACTCGCGAACAAACTAACGCTCTCATTGTGCCAGTTAATAAATAGTAATTTTTCTTAACAGCCTTGATATCTTAGAGATACTTAGTTAGATCGTGTAATTTTCTTTATTTGGATAAACTAAAGAAAATTTACCAAAGGGATCAGATAATATTTTCGACAACGCACCCGGAGTTTCATTGCAAAGGGAAGTACTGGTGTTGGCTGAACGTGAACGCTGTAGGAAGTCACAAGATTGAAGCCTGTGTCCAGTCTCCCGGAAACTGTACGAACTCGGAAAATTCGTGAGCTAAACATTAAAACTATTTATGGATTAGCTTCACATTTCTAAACCACAAACATTTGATATAAATTCAAGAAGTTTAAGAGAAATGTTCATTGTAAAGTCTGCCGCCGAAGCGCCTGCTCTATTTTTGAAGACCGTGCATGGCTAATTTTGCATTTGTTCTGCAAACTGTCTCCCAAGCTGTCCTCTGAAAATAGATAGTGAAAGAGGACAAGAGAAGACTTATCCCCTCTTTTAAATACTTGTCTACTTTGGAATATTCACGAGCTTTGTAGATTATTTTTCACTGATTTTCACTGAATTACTCGTGTTTATGTAATTACGTTAAATACCTGAATTAAATATCGAAACTTCATCCCCAAGTGAAGTTTTCTCTCAGGTCATCGTGAAACGTTAAAACCAGAAATGCCATCTGCAATCTTAAAATAAGAAGAAAAACAAGTGGAAAGTTTGCAAAGTATCTAAATTTACCAACTTTGAGTTGCATGAAACAATGCACAATTTCGGTGATTTAACATAAACTCACTCGAACGGAAGAAATAGTTTGAAACTTGTAATAAAAGATTTAAAGCTTCACTCTTGTTTGAAAAAATATTCATAAACATGCTTGAACCTGTTGAAAGACCTGTCGTGGTTTGATTGTTTATAACAATAATAGAACTTTTTACCTTCATGCGTCATACTAGATTGGGTCACGTGGTCTGAAAATGGGTAAATGACAGTCGCTGCTATAGACTTTTAGAAAAAAGTAAGATCGAAGTAAAGACTTAAGAGGGTCATCTGGTACAAAGTGTGCTCTGAACACTTCGAAGATAGCCGAACTAGGTAATACTTCCGTTATTTCAGTGCTGATTAATCCGTGAGTAATAATTTTCGGCAAGAGAATAAGGAATCTCGTCCGTAAGATGTCGTCTGCGGTACATACTTGAGTAGCCATTTCGAATTCCTGTTTATCCATTTCAAACCTCGTGACCACAATAGAGTGAAGTCGTATAACCCCTTCGTTGTGTGCAAATGAGTTTGCCGCCTTCCGCCAGTTGCTAATGAGAAGAACAATTAAGAACAGTTCTGAACGTTTATTGAAATACATCCTCACCGCTGTATTTCCCTAGTGAAAATTCTCAATTAACGGCGCTGCAAAGGGTAATGATTTTCATTGGGTGACGGTAAAGTCACAAACGTCAGAAAAATATATTCTCAGTGTAATATTCTCGTGACCTGTTTGGGCACGCTGGGCACGCAAGAGTGATTTACTTTGAAATGTACTAGACTGTCGAAAACAAATGGTCACTGCAGTTAGCAGAGAATGTGCAAGAAACATCCTGTGGGGCCTAAAGATCACGAAGGTGCCTTTTTGGCGATTTTGTGACTTTACAGTCACCACCACCCCGACAAAAATCCTCATCCTTTGCAGGGATGGGGGGATCGATGAGAAGACTGCTGGACTTCAGTTGAAAAGGCTCAGGGTAAAGCCCCAGACAGAATTAAAGTGAAATGTTCTCCGTCAAAACACTAGGGACCTTAAGCAACCACGACGGCGACGGCAACGAGGACGTGAAAAACAAGAGATCTAATTGGCAGAACAATAGCCCAACACGTGCATTTTGAAACTTTGTACATTTCTTAGTCGTTCTATGCAAAACAACAACGTGAAATCGCCAAAATTTGCGTCATCTGCGAACCGAAACCGCGACGGCAAATTATTTTAATTTCCATGTGGAACTCAACGCTGCTTTTATGCGTCATGCTGAAGTTCAGCTGTGGCGTCCTATGAGACAGTAAGCTCCTGCGTCCATTTCTAAAATTCTAACTAAGAGTAGAAATTCATTTTTCAATCGAAGTCTTCCTTGGCGTTGCAGTCCTGACTGCTTAAGGTCCCTTCTGTCTTAAGGAGAAATTCACGGCTCAGTCTTATAATCTCTACGACTCCTAAATCTTTTTAAACATACCAAAGACATAGGAGTGCGTGGGAATGACGAGTCTGTAAGATCCTATTCAATTAAGTAAAAATTCGATGAAGTATTCAGTTAAGTTGGAATAACCAAACTCCCTTGGTTTAAGTCTGTTGCTTCGAGGGCAAAATAGAATTTTCTAAACACTTTCCTCTAAATGTTCTTTTAACGAAGAAAAGAAAAATGCCCTTTTGTATTTGATTACCATTTTATCAGCACTATTACGATTATCGTTACTACTATCATTCTTACAGATATCATTATTTTTTCTTTTACATCATTATATAAGTGATTGGGATATTCTGGCCGCTTTGCTTTCGAACTCGATCCAGCCATTGCTTAATTCAACGCTGCAGAAGTTGCAGTTTTACAACGCTGCATTTGCCATTCTAAACAAATATTCATACGTATCCTCTTCCATAGGATAATTTATTACCTGACAAGGGAATTCCGCGTTAAATGCACGCTGAAACCGATATCGCACGAATCGCGAAGCGAAGAGTGTGACATCGGTTTTCAAGAGCAATTTAACGCGGAATTCATGAGTAAGGTAATGGATTTTCCTAGAATCGCATAATTGAGTAAAAATATGGAAAAAAGAAATCAACAGTATATTGGTTGTTTTTATCCTGAGCGCTAAACAAGAGATGCGAAACAATATCACTTAGCCTCGTTTTCAACTCGCAATTACACGCTAAACACATCGCTTCGTTAACCAATCAGAATGCGAGATTTTATAGAAATGTTCGATTCTTCTAAGAATCGCATCAGTGAATAAAATCTCGCGTTCTGATTGGTTAATAAAGCGAGACATTTAGCGTGGAATTGCGAGTTGAAAACGAGGCTAAGTGAGATTTTTTGGCATCTATGTATACATAACAACTTTAGGTAATGTTGTTCACTGTTTCTTAGTTTGTGATTCAAGGAAAATCCATTATTTGACTTGTGAATTCCGCGCTAGAGTGCACTTGAAAACCGATATCGCACTCACCGCTTCGCGATTCGCGCGATATCGGTTTTCGCGTGCAATTTAATGCGTAATTCACTCGTCAAGTAATGAAATTTCTTGCAAAATTGCTTGGTTCAGATTATCCTTTCCTAGTCTGATGCACTGTATTCATTAGAAATGGAGGAGAAGCGACTTCACGATAGGATCTACAAATATGTTTGTTTACAATTTCGGCATCGGTGAATCTCAGCGGCGATAGTTGTCATAAATATTTCAACATAATGCAGGCCTCGGATGGCGCTTAGTGAAACTCCTTGTTCAGTCTGAAATACATAAGTACATCTGAATTTTGAGAGAAAATTAATGTGAATGACAAACGCACCGAAATGAAGAATATAACACGGTTGCTATCGTTGCAAGAAAATTTTGGTTTTATCAACAAAGTTGATAATGTAAATAAATTGATTTAGCATGCTGGAATCGTTGTCTATACTGGAATTCAAGGCCAGAAAACTGCGTAGTTTTGCGCTGAAAATTCTGAAATTGCACGATTTTAGAACAAAATCATCTACTGAATAATACTTATAAGATTTATCAATACTTAAAGGAGCTATCTACCATTCCAAAGAAGAGTCCCAATGTCGCAAAACCTCGCTACAGGTCAGCAAGTTCAGTTTTGTTTCTCCAGCCATAATTCGTTTCGCGTTCGGAAATAAAGTATGGCATGTCCAAAGCTAATTTCGTCGCTTGGAAGAGCTAAAATTTCCCTCTTTTTCGAATCGAGTACTATCTAGCTGCATATTTCCTTTTCATTTTTAGCTCCAAATGGTCTATCTCAATCTGGATGGAACGAACAAACAATCGTGAAAGTTTTGAAACCTAGTTCGCAACTGAATTCGACGGGAACTTTGCAGCTGAATCGAAACTGCATACCTCATGGTATGTTTCCAGAGTGATTTCTCAGCAATGTACCCCGCATTGTATTGTAGACATAAAATATCACTTCATCAGGCGAATAAACGCGCGCGAGAACAGGGTATTATTTCTTAATCTATGAACGAGGTAAACAGGCACGATGGTCTTCTGCTCTTGAATGGGTAGAATGATCTATAATACTTTTTATTTCATTACTTTGGTGGATAAATTATCCCCTCAAAATTGGAACAAATATTAAAATTACAATTTTCGTGGTAGTGAAAGGGTTAAAAAACTCCTATTTTTAACTAATTCACTTGCCAAGTTGTTATCGAACAGTTTGTTATCGGACAGTTTGGGCGATTCCATTAGACCAAAATTTTCGAGATTTCCGATCTGAAATCGAATGGAACTAGAAAAGTTCCGGGATAAGTTTTCGGAAATTTAGGAATACGTTTTGAGTGTACCCTCTTGGATACGGTCTGACGCGTTCCATTCGACCAGCTAAAATACCGACGTTTTGAACCGGTGATTTTTGTTGTATGGAAAGCGCCCTTTGTTATCGGACAGTTTATTATCGGACAGGTTAATAAGCCAATCACATTCAAAGTTTTTTGGATATATCAACAAAGTTGAAATGGTAAATTGGCCACCGTAATGATTACAAAAGCTGACGTTTCGAGCGTTAGCCATTCGTCGGAGCGAATAGAGGAATTGTGGGTTGCGTGGGCTTTTAAAGGCAGAAAATGGAGCTACGTTATTGGTGGGTGCATGGCAACGAGAAAAACATGAATAAATTAGTGGAATGAAAAGCGTTCATTGATCCCTGTGGGATTTAGACTGCCGGTTTGAAAGATGAGCTTTTGTTCAAGATTTTTACGGCTTTCCGTGCCACCTAAGTGCAAGGAAAGACCGCAGATTGCCATATGTTGCTTAGAATGATTAGGTAAATTAAAATGTCTAGCGACTGGTTTCGATGTGTCCTTGTCATTCCTTTCCACGTCTCGAAGGTGTTCTCGGAATCGGTCACCTAGTCTTCTGCCTGTTTCGCCGATGTATATCTTTTTGCAATAAGTGCAAGTTATGCAATAGATTACATT